AAATATTTTCTCTTCCACTAGTCTTAATAAATAAAACAGTTAATCATAATTATATCTGAACAATGGCAAACAGAGGACAGTTCAGACGCAGCTAAGTTGGAGAAAGCAATGCAACTTAAAACTAGCTCTTATTTCAGCAGATGGCACTAGAACCCAAGGTGATCAACAGTATTTTCCTCTTTCAACCATAGCTAGTATACAACTTAAATGAATCCACTACATTAGAGGGCAATAGGCGAAGAAAGGTCACACAGAAGATGATGAGTAATCTAAGTGTACATCCAGAGTGCCATACACCGAACCTAGCAAACTGAGAACCTTCTCTTGAAGGACGTCAACCTGCTCTGAAGGGCAATAGTCATCCAAACTTGATCTGTAACAAGGATGTGAAGAAAGGATGAGGCAGATAGACACCATCATCATATTTTATGTTCTTATAATTTTTTTTTTTTGCTAGAGACCTGAAGTAATTTGCAAACTCCTGCAATTTCTGCCTCTCAGTGCCTTTTCAAGGCAGGCTGCTGTGTTTGCCCTCACTACCAAAAAAGTAACAATTTGCCTGAAGTTGAACAGAAAGTCTGCAGCAAATCAGAAACACGACCTATTTGTTCCTCCAATTCTGCTCTCTTCCTTACTCTGATGTAAAATGTTGTCAGTTAAAACTCAAGTGAATCCTTTAACTAAAGCATTGGTGGAAAGTTAGACTGAGAAATTCAATCGCTACTAGTAAAATAGGTAGAGAAAACTTGGACAAACATATCTGTGATCCCTAGGATATCAACTTTCTAGAGTACCTGTTAATGAACTACAAATAGATATTGTTTAAAAAAAAAAAAAAAAAGATTTCTTACCTAAGATCTTCCATTTGTTAAGACCTACATAAATGATTCAGTATTTCCTCTGCAACTATGGCTGACATCCCTGTAGCAGGTGCAAGGAATGTGTCTGTTTTTTATTTTCGGTATTAGACACGCTACTTTCAGCCAAAAACAATCTAATGTCAGATTCTGCTATTGCTGCCTGCACTTTAAGGGCACACTCAGTATTTTTAAAGTGATAAATTACAATAATTTGTCAACAGATACACTGTAGTCTTGGAAGTAGCCTCTCCCCAGCCTTGAACTCCATCCTGTTCTCCCAAATAATTCCCTTACAGTGCTGAGAACATAAATCTTTCCCTTGTAAAGCTTTATTAGAGCTTTCTAGAATACAAAACCTGTTTAGTCTATCATATAAAAATCCTTACCCCTTTCATCAGAAGTTTCAGTGAAAACAGAAATCCTGTCTGTAATGCAATGAATCCTAGAGCAAGGAGTATGGATGGAGTGATTTCAGGCCATGCAGGCTTGCCCAGGTCAGCTTTGCTCTGACTAGCTCAAGTAATAAAAACAGTGAAAATGTGTCAGTATGAACTTCAGCAACAGCTACCAGCTGAAACACATGCAAGGTCTCATCATAGGCTTTATGCAGCCTGGGCTGAGGCTCGTTAACTCATCATGATTTCACTGCTGTTAAAGTCTGTGCTACTCTAAAGCCAGTAAAGTCGGCTATCGTTGCTGAAAACAGAACCTTGTTTAGCTGTGTAGCTACTGCCACTACATTATGATCAATGTTGTCGTATGTCAGTTTTCACTACTCTTTAAGATAAGTCAACCAATCCTATATTCATTGAATCATTTAGCTTTATATGCACAGTCTGAGTGTTTTAAAAAAAAATATCCACATACTCTTACCGAGCAATTGTTACAAGCGTGGGTTTAGGCATATTTTTTAGCAGAACTTTAATGGATTCTATGAGGCCTTCTATCTCATCTTCGTTGCTAATGTGGTGGGGAAGCTCCATATAATCACAGGTCAGACCAGCCTGATGGACCTACATGTAAATTAAACACAGAGATTGTAATTTCATTTGACTAGTTATTGACACAACTTACCCCTAAGTTACCTTCCCTAGTCCAGTAAGCATTTTACACATCTTCAAACAGTAAAGCTTTCTTTTTTAAAGAATTTTGTAGGTTGTGTAGATTGTTTCAGCATCACCATTAAAATGTACCTCTTCTATCAATTTAGAGTATGCTGCAGTCCTCTGAAGATGGTATGTCTGATATTTTAGAAATGGATACCTTTAAGTTAAATTCTATAAACCATATCAACAGACCTAGGCAAAATGAGGCCTTACTTTATAGGAAGCAGCTTGAGATCTGACAGTCTTGAAAGATCATATTATTAATGTTGCCTAAGTACAGACAAGCAAAGTAGAATTTTAGAAGCTTGAAAAAAAGGTTGGTCTAAGTAATATGATGTAAAAAATAAACTAAAACCACCAACCCCCCAACAAAGTCCTGAATCAAGAAGCAAGGGTACAAAGCAGCATGGTCTTCTCCCTCCTTGTTAACGCTACGCTTTTGAAAGCTGTCCTCCTTTTCCTAGTGACCTACCATTTCATAGTCTGGGCTCTCCATCCTGGTTTTCAAACTGTGAACAAGTTGAATGAGTGGCTTCATTCTGCAGTTAAAACCAAAACTGGTTAGGTAAACAGCTGGAAACACTCATATTTAACCCTAAGTTCCCAAGAGCAAAAGCAGAAGTAACTCAAAACATCAACCAGCAGCATGGCCTAAGACTTGAAACAAAACTTGCCCCTCAACACCATCTCGCACATGAGAAAAAGGGAAACCATCAGTGCTACCGTGCTGCTTCATTAGGTCTTCTTTGGAGAACCCCTACACTGATACCTGTCTCTGTCAAGCCCTCCCTCCAGTTCTTTCAGGCAGCCCTGAAGATAGATACACTCAAGCTGTTTTAATTAGACAGGAAATACTTGTGGTCATCACTACACAGGTCTGGTAGTAACTGCTGCATTTGATGGGGAAAATGAGTGATTTTCCTGTCACAGGAAAACTTGGCCTTTTGCTCAGTGTATTTTTAGCCGAGAACATTTAGTTTAAAAGTATATCAGATGTAGCTGAGATGCGTTGTGGACACCATCACTTAGGTGCAGCCTTTATATTTCAGCCAACTGCTACTATCATAGGTTTGCAGGAGCCATTCCTCATGAGGTCAGGCAAGAACAGTGGAGAGTAGCACAGAAGCATTTATCTCACCTTGTCCTTTTCCATATCCTCCTCCATAGTTTGTTGTTAAAATTTGAGAGTTCTGCCCTACACGGAATCACAGAATGGTTTAAGTTGGAAGGGACCTCTGGAGATCATCTAGTCCAACCTCCCTGCTCAAGCAGGGACCTCTAGAGCATATTGCCCAGGATCACATCCAGACGGGTTTTGAATATCTCCAGCGAAGGAGACTCCACTACCTCTCTGGGCAACCTGTTCCAATGCTCTGTCACCCTCACAGGGAAGAAGAGTTTTTCCTCATGCAGATGGAACTTCCTGTGGTTCAGTTTGTGCCCATTGCCTCTTGTCCTGTTGCTGGGTCCTCCTGGCACCCTCCCTTCAGATACTTGCACACCTTGATCAGATCCCCCCTCAGTCTTCTCTTCTCCAGGCTAAACAGGCCCAGCTCTCTCAGCCTTTCCTCATAAGAGAGATGATCCAGTCGCCTTAATCACCTTCGTAGCCTTCCGCTGCACTTTCTCCAGGAGTGCCATGTCTCTCTTGTGCTGGGGAGCCCAGCAGTGAACACAGCGCTCCAAATGAGGCCTCAGCAGGGCTGAGTAGAGGGCCAGGATCACCTCCCTCCACCTGCTGGCAACACTCTGCCTAATGCAGCCCAGGATCCCATTGGCCTTCTTGGTCACCAGGGCACATTGCTGGCTCATGGTCAACTTGTTGTTCACCAGGACTCCCAGGTCCTTCTCTGCAGAGCTTCTCTGCAGAGCTGCTTTCCAGCAGGTCAACCCCCAGCCTGTGCTAGGTGCAAGGGGTTATTCCTGCCTAGGTGCCGGATCCT